ACCTACACACTTCACATCTCCGCAAGAAAAAGCTATACTATCACGGATCAATGCGCAAGTGGCTTAATTTATGCCTGCATCTTTTATTAACACTCATCTACATTTGCTTCTTCATTTCCTTGATGAACCAACAGTATTTCCTCCAAAACACAATTAAGAGCCGTCATCTACATCCGCAATGTTAATACATCATTTGAATTTTAATACTATCCCCGTTTCAATTTAGATGAGGTTGTTTGATTCGACACGGAGTTTAAGGGAAAAAAAGACTTGAAACTTGTGGTCTTAAAAGCTTAAGGGGTAAAAGTTTTGTAGGATCATGACATTTATATAGTTATAAAAGCTTCTCATTAAAGGTAAAATGGGTAAAATGAAGAGTTTAAAGTTAAATTATTTTCAAATTTAGAAATGTGTCATTTATTTTGGAACAGACCAAAAAAGAAAGCACCTATCTAATTGGAAACAGAGGGAGTACTATGTTGAATTTAATAAGAAAGCAACAGCTGCACGGGGTTAAGATAATCATTCCACGTTAGTAAACGAGAACCGTCAGATACAAACAAATTAACCCACATCACCAAACAAATTTTCTTCTATGAGTTGCATTATTAAACAAATGAATCATCTGAGTCTTGCTTCGCGCAGCTTGTCATCTATGGAGTCACACTCACCTTCTCCGGAATATCTTCATTCATGATCTTATCCATCTTAGTGTGCCCGCACATCCACCTCAGCATCCTCATTTTTTATACTTTCATCTTGTGGATATGCGAGTTCTTAACTGGCCAACACTCAGCCACATACAACATGGTCGGTCTAACCACCGCTCTATAGAACTTACCTTTGAGTATCAGTGGCACTTTCTTGTCACACAGGATTCCAGAAGCTAATCTCCACTTCATCCACCCCACCCTTATACGGTGTGTGACAATCTCGTCGATCTCACCATCCCCCTGTATAACCGACCCAAAGTACTTGAAACTGCCCCTCTTGGGGATGACCTATGATTCAAGCCTCATGTCCACTCCCGCTTCCTTCGGGTCGGCGTTGAACTTGCACTCTAGGTATTCCGTCTTAGTCCTGCTCAACTTGAAACCATTAGACTCGAGGGCCTGTCTCCAAACCTCCAGCCTCTCGTTGACATCGCCTCGCGTCTCATCAATTAGAACGATGCCGTCAGCAAATAACATACATCATGGCACCTCCCCTTAGATATGGTGTGTCAGTGCATCCATCACCAGGGCAAATAGGAATGGGCTGAGCGCCGACCCTTGGTGCAACCCCATAACAATCTGAAAATGCTCCGAGTCGCCTCCCACTGTCCTAACCCGAGTCTTAGCTCCATCATACATGTCCTTAATCACCCTAATGTAAGTAATCGGTACACCTTTTGCCTCCAGGCATCTTCATAAAACCTCTCTAGGAACCTTATCATACGTTTTCTTCATATCAATAAACACCATATGCAGGTCCTTCTGTACTGTTCCACCAACCTCCTAATAAGGTGGATAGCTTCCTTGGTAGAACGCCCTGACATGAACACGAACTAGTTGTCTGAAATAAACACCGTCCTCCTCAACCTCACTTCTATCACCCTCTCCCAAACTTTCATAGCATGACTCAATAATTTGATACCCCTATAGTTGTTAGGGTTGTGGATATCACTTTTGTTCTTTGTGGATTCATATCATAAAATATCCCAATCAATGCCAGACAAAATTAGCCAAGATTTCACTTCCAAGACTTGCCTCAAAAGGCTGGTCCCAATCAAGGTTGTACATGCAAGCACTTGATATATATGCAGAAGCACGAAGAGTGAGTAGAATATTAACTAACAAATGGTGCTACAGATGCACAACGCATCCTAAGATTACAAATATTAAGCAGGCTAAGAAATATATACATACAGACAGAAAGATCCTTATCCTCTGTCATTCAACGGGTATTCAGCCATCTGGAGCTTCATTAGCCTTGACAAATCGACCCTTAACTCGCTTTCTAGTATCAGCTCTTGCCTTCCTTGATTCATAACGAATGTGCTTATCATATCTGGACATCACAACTCACACTCAGAGATTCAACAAAACCGAGATATAGGGATAAACTCAAGAGGTGACAAGGGAAAACTATGCTGAAGGAAAACTAAAAGAAATAACCTACCTTCGTGTTTTCTTTTTCTCCTTATAACGTTGCATTGCATTTCCTCTGTTCTTCGCCAGAAGCTCCATATCAGCCTTGAGTATTTCCTCACCGGTGTTTTCACCTCCCACAAAAATGCTTTGCTCCATAAAGTTCAAATCTTTAGACACACCACAGCATTTCCGTTTAGCATAACCAGAGTCAGAAGAAAGCTTAATTATTGGTAAATTGTTGCTCTCAGATGTAGCTGGCCCCTGGCTTCCCCCTCGGTTATTCGAATTATTCTGCAAGGCATGAAGCAAGTAATTTCTCAGATTCAAGAGGAAGACATTATTATACCATACCATTTGACACATCCGTCTTTTTGCAGATAACTTCACTATCCATCCATGTATACCAAAGAGAAAATGAAGCGTTACTGTCAGCATTACTATGTATGGCCTCACTATCGATCATTTATTTATTAATCAGGTAATAATGTGGTACCTCAAATTCTCAATAACATTAACCCAAGCTAATTGGAAAAAGTAATGTCAAAAGCAGTGTCCAAGGTGAATCAACAGAACCACTAATGGTCGTGGTTCCTAAAGCAGACTATAGAAAGTTCTAGAGTTAATTAAAATTGACATGGCCGTATTCTGGTTAAATGTATTGCAGAATCAGTTGTACACCATGCCTTTGTTAGAATTTACAAAATTGTAAAGGTATTATATATCCGACTCCTTAACACAAAAGAAACCTCAACAATCCTCCAAGACAGAACAAAGAACTGACAAGGTTGGTAACAGACATCTGTCACTCAGACATTTTTGTTATCTGTCACTTAAAGTACGGGTTTCAAGACTCAATCATGCCACAATAATTGATTTAATGGATTAAAATAGAACAAATGAGATAAACTTAACGGTGGCTAGAGCTTACACTGAAAGCTGTCATATCTTCATGGGCAACTGAGCGGTTAATGCCTGAGAGTTCTAATCCTTTTGAAGTTGCTAATGATGTTCCTTTTATGAGTTCACCATAGCTTTTCATCATGTAAGCCATGTCGCTCTCACTGTAGTCGGCTTCCACTGAGCTTGACTGTTCATGGCTCCTCAACTGCCCCAGATTGAAATCCCATATCTGAAAAAGCAAACACAACAAGGCCGTGAATACAATCAGTCCAACTTCAAGAACTGGATCAAAGAAGGAAGCAGTAGAGGAGAAGAAGCTAGTATCATTTCAGGTAACTAAAGAGGGTACAAAATAAAGTATATCAGCAACATGTCCTGTTCAACCATATCTCTTCCTTTTAAATTTTGTCAGTTCAAAAGAGCAAAAGTATAATTCTCTGACAAGTCTATTTTACAGTCATTAAGCTCGTTGCATGTTTTTAAATTTCATAATGCTTTTCACCAGAGAAGATTAAAGGTGTACGACTGATTTTGACAGCTCAAGGATAGTTCTGAATATCATATTTTTTCAAAAATGGAAATAGACAATCCCATTTTAGAAAAAGAAACGGGAATAGAAGATTGTCTTAATATTGAAACAGAATATCAAATGCAACATAGTAGCATTATGTATCTTTATTTACTTAAAAATGAAGATACTATCTTGAGACACACCTCAACAACCAAAATAGACCATAGAGAGAATATGTGGTTCTCATGCAACTTTATGCATATGCCAAAATCACTAAAAACCACAAAAACGAGGATCGACTGGTATAGATCTAGATTATTACCCACAACCAACTCAAGATCTAACAAAACTTGACAGAAAAGGAAATTTTGCATGCTGCCGGTACAAATATGACATAACCAATTCCATTAGTACAAGAAATTTTTTTCCCAACCTCTAAAACGCCTACCCCCAAGATTCCAATATGACAGAATTTTCCTCTGCTTTGTAGATGCGCACTGGAAACAAATCAAAGCAGAATCTCAAGTCTGTTCACATCCCAAATATACTCAAAAGGCACCAAACACTATAATGATATGGGCTTATCATCTATTCTTTTCTCAACTCAAACGAATCATCATACGTGCAGATTCATGTTGGATGTTCAATTATCAATCAAATCACTATTAGTATGAAGAAATGCCCAGTTCAATGACGACTCGATGCTAAAAAAACAGTTTTTATTCTGCAATTCTGCACGACACGCTTTAGCTTTTCACATTTGAAACAAAGGCAATTTTATTGAACAATATGTGATATAAAGAACAAGACAACAGAAGTGGATTAATTCATCACACTTGTTCAGGCTATGCAAAATATCCTAGCTATGACCGATAAAGTTATAATTAGCACCATGAAATTATGATAATACCTGGGTGTTTTGAACATAGGAATTTCCGCTCGACAAAATATTCCCTTCCACCATGCGGTCACTGTTTTTTGAATTATGAGGCTTCTGCATCATAAGCAAAGAGGTAAACGGCACACTCTGCGGCTCAAGCTGCTGATTGACACCACCCATAACCGCATCACTCCCCTCCGTCACATTAACATTTCCCTGCCAATCACTACTCCCATTAGGTGTCTTTGGAACTAAATCTTCCGATCCACCTCCAACCCCATCTGCCAAATCTCTCTTGAATAACTCAATTAATTGTTTCAATATCACTTGTTTCTGCTTGCCACAAGTTGGATTTTGTTTTCTACCCACCTCACGAGTTGTGGAGTAAATCCCAGAATTGTTATTATTAGCGTTAGGTACCATTAAATCTTTCAACAAGACAGAAGAAGGAGGAGGAATAACATCCTTACACATCCAATTACAAGGCTCTAAAAAACCATTCCAAGTGGGCTGTAAATGAGTAGGTGTTGGTGGTTTCTTGGCCTCAATATCTAAACCCCAAGCTGAAGCAAGCTCAGAAGCACAAGGACATCCAGAGAACCCTTCAACAGGGGTCCGATCGTGTGCACAGCTGCCGTGAGCATCCCAATCGCATTCTTGGCAGAGTACGAGGTTGTCAGTGGCGCAACGGATGGAGACAGGCTCGGAGCCACAGTTGTCACAGATCTGAGATCGGATGTGTTTCTTGGAGAGGGCGTTAGCTGAATGAACGTGCTGGTCACAGAAAAGACACAGCTTTGCTGAATCAGCTCGACAGTAAAGTACGGCAATCTGCTGATTGCAGAAATCGCAGGGACGGCTGTCTCCACTGCTTCTCTGGCTCATTATTACGATTCCAAAACCCTAGGAAAACGATCTGGGTTTGGCGGCGCTAAGCTAGAAATATTGTGCAATCTTGTCTTGATAAGAACACAAAAAGATTTTATTTTTTGTATGTCAAGAGTTTGAAGGCTAGGTTTAATTAGTTGATGATATTTGGATTTTGGATTTTCTGAATGTTTAACAAGAGTTCAATGTTTGTTCTTCAAACTTTGAAATGGACAGAGATGATAGATGATCTCGCGCAAATTGGATGGAATGAGGAGGGGAGGGCGAAGAGGTGGGGTTCCTAAATCTTAAAATATCTTACAACTTTTCGCTGACTGGCGTACGGTTGCATCTTTTCTGACCTCACCAACCTTTTTAAATGACTATTATTCCTACTCTTATTTACTTACTGCTGTATAGTCTCGAGTCCAAAACTTTTTTGATGTTTTTTTGGACAAAAAATATTTTTCTACTACTTAAAAAAAAAGTTACATAAATGAGTAAAATGCAGTATTATACTGTGAACTACTTTAACGGAAACCGTTAAAGTAAAATGCAGCATGTACTATGTTTTACTTTAAATTTTTATTTTTTTTGTAATTCGCAGTACCATACTGCATTTTACTTTAAATTTTTTTTTGTTTTTGTAATTCACAGTATAATACTACATTTTATACGAAAATCTGGGCCCAACTATATTTTATTAAAGTTGTTCGCAGTATTATACAGCGTTTTACTTAAAACGTAGTATAATACTGCGAATAGCTTTAATAAAATAAACCCCCTTCTTCTTCCTTGGACCACTGAACCGACGCCCCCTCTTTTAAAAATTCCGATTCTGCTGGTCCCCCCTCCCCCACCCCGCGACAAACTTCAAAAAAAAAAATTCGGCCCCACCCGTCACCTAAAGAGCAAGGAGTGTAGGTCCCACATACAAGACAAGCTTTGGATTCTTTCTTTCGGGTGCAAAAATTCGATTTCAATCAAATTCAAAAAACTTAAATCAAGGTATTTCGATTTTGTTTATGTCGAAACTCGTATAGTACATGCATATTTGTATTGTTTAATGTGTTTCCATGTTAATTTGTGTTATGTTTGTGTTTAAATTTTATCTTATTTATATCCGGATTGATTTATTAGCTTTGGTACAAAAAATTGTTAAAATTTGATAAATTATTTGTATTGTTAAAAAGTTAATATTATTTATTTTGTTTGTTGTTCATATTTGTATTTTATGTTAGTTGTTTTTATATGTAATATTGACCTTTTAGCATAGTAAAATAAACAGCCTTTTAGCGTAGTAAAATATAGAGCCTTTTAATGTTGTAAAATATAGAGCATTTTAGCGTAGTAAAATGTAGAGCCTTTTAGCGTAGAGTCTATGTAGTTTAAGTATGTACTAACTACAAACTCTATCCAATTACACTTTACAAAATTAATTATTTAATTTATAACAATAAACTTACAAAAGTAACAAATTAATATATGTTGCAAAATTAACTCAAATATCGAGCCCNTATGAAAAATATGAGTGTTAATACAAATCCAATTAAAACATAAAATAAACATCGCTAAAGCACCTACGGAATTGAAGTTTACCAGTTGTCTTGTTGATTATATAAAGTCGAAAAATTATTTTGTTGTTGCTCATTCGCTGGTGGTGACAAGTTTAAATCAAGGCAAACTCTTTCATCAGCAATCTGTCCGACAAAAACTGCTCCAGAATAACCACTCGATGACTGGGGATTATCCCTACTATGCACGCCCTCATTATTGGGAACGTCTTCCACCTTGACATACATTTCCAATAATTTTATTACAATAAATTCCCTGTATTCATCCAGAATCCGCAAAAAATCTCTAAGAGTTTCATCATCCTCGATGTTAAACTCATAATAATAAGCAAACTCTTGCGGAGTCACTGAATACGGAAATCTACCGGTTATTTTAAGGTTAACTGAACGCCACCTCTCATTCATTTTTTTACGTAACAACGATACCAATTTATCGTACTCCATAGTAAGCGACAATTTAACATGACATTGTGGAGGTGAGCTATACCTCATAGAGTTATTCTCCAACACAACCTCATCCCCCCCAATATAGTGAAACCCTTATTTTTGCCACTTCTGACATTGTAAAAAAATGATTGATAAGAAGAAGAGAGATGTATGAACGTAAGTTTGAAGATTGAATGAATTTTCATAAAATTGAAACGCCTTTAAATAAGGCAAGTCCGAATGTAAAACGCAGTACAATACTACATTTTATGTATTGAATTATTGTTATGTCAGTTCATTGTTGGTGGGCCAAAAAACAGAGTAAAACGCAGTATAATAATACGTTTAAGTAAAACGTAGTATTATACTGCGAAGTACAAAAACAAAAAAAATAAAGTAAAACGCAGTATGGTACTGCGAATTACAAAAAAAAAATTAAAGTAAAACACAGTATGGTACTGCGTTTTACTTTAACGGACTAATTTCCGTTAAAGTAGTTCGCAGTATAGTACTGCGTTTTACTCATTAATGTAACTTTTTTTTAAGCAGTAGAAAAGTATTTTTTGTCCAAAAAAACATCAAAAAAGTTTTGGACTCATATAGTCTCACTTTCATGTTGTACAGTCTCAGATTAAATTAATTTATGAGACGCGAATGAAGTGCGCAAATTATGGGTTTAGTTGAACCCATAATATTTAATGCGGAGTAATTTATAATTAAAATTTTATTAAATTATAAAAATAATAGATATAAACTCATAATTTTATAATTAATTTAATGCTAAAAATCTTAAAAATTAAACTTAAAGTTTAAACTAGGGTGGGTCAACAACATGTTACTAGCATACAACAACGTAGTGCGGTCACATCAAGACAACGATATTTTATTAACATGTGCTGCAGTAATTAACGTAGCAGTGAATCGCTAAGGAGTAGTTCTGCATTCCCTCTATCTCACTAGGCGTTTGGACATAAGAATTGTAAAATTTAAAAAAAAAAAAAAAGTGAAATTTTCAAGTGAAAAAAATAGTATTTAAAAATTAGAGTTGTATTTGAACATGAATATAATTTTTGATTATTTTTAAATTTTTGTGAGTGATCTAAGTAAAAATTTTGAAAAATGACTTTTTGGAGTTTTTATAATTTTCGAAAAATTTCAAAATTGATCTTCAAGCAAAAATTGAAATTTTATTGCCAAACACCGATTTCAAAAAAAAAGTAAAAAAAAAAATTTAAAAAAAAAAGTGAAACAAATCTTATGTCCAAACGGGCTCTTAATTTGTGTGGTAACTTTTTTTAGTTTGTCTCGAAAGAAATATTATTTTTTTATTTTTGAAAAGAAAGATTTATAATGACATATATATTTAAAACTTAATTTAAATCACAAATTTTAAGAATTTTCATTTCTTTTGGTGCTACATAAATTGAGGTGGAAGAAATAGTACATAGCATAGGTTAAGAAAAAACGGAGACTGAGAGAGAGTGAAGTGAGCAAGAAACGGGTACCGGTCAAATCAGAGAGAGACCGAAACTCAAATGATGTCTTTTTGGGCATAAAATACCTTTATACAATTTAAAAAAAAAGTTACATTTCTAACTTACATTAATAAAAAGTTAGCCGTTAAAGTTAAACGCGGTATAATACTGCGTTTTATTAAAAAAAATATTTTTTTAAGGGAAACGTAGTATAATACTACGTTTAAGGAAAAAGCAGTATTATACTGCGTTTCCCTATAAAATTGGGCCCACCAATAATAAGAGTTCTGCAAGACTGCAGAGAATATTTATTTTTTAGTGTAAAACATATTATAATACTACGTTTTACGCTAAAACGAAGTATTATACTGCATTTTACACTAATTTTTGGACCCACCAATAAGTGTTCTGCGGATAACTGACATAACAATAATTCAAATACATAAAACGTGGTATTATACTGCGTTTTACGGGGAAAAAATCTGCACCCCAAGCTCGAACTTGCCTTATTTAAAGGCGTTTGATTTTTATGAAAATCCATTCAAAACTTTCTTTCAAACTTCCGTTCATACTTCTCTCTTCTTCTTATCAAGCATTTTTTAATAATATTTGAAGAGCCAAAAATAAGGGTTTTATTATATTGGGGGTGGTGAGGTTGCAAGGAGAATAACTCTGTGAGGTATAGCTCACCTCTACAGTGTCATGTTAAATTGTCGTTTACAATGGAGTATGATAAATTAGTATCATTGTTACGTAAAAAAATGAGTGTGAGGAAACGTTCGGTGAAATAGAATTGTTAAATCATTGTTAAAATAGAATTGTTGCCATTATTTACATAATGTAGTATTTACACAAAACACAAACAAAAGTAAATCAATGAGTTCCGCAACCTGTGTGCTTCAGTGCTGCCGCTAGCCTGAGTCGCATCCTCTGTCGCTCGGGTGCACTATCACGATCATCATCATCAAGTGGCCTCTTTATGTGAGGATGCGCAGCAGCATCGACAATACAGCTGGCAGGATCGGTAGAAGGGGTCGTTGGGCCGTCAGCAACCTACAAAATAATTACTAAGCTTAGCATGTGAAAATGTATATTAGTATTGTACGTGTTAAGTCAAAAATATTTTCTCACCATGGTCTCGTCAGCCTCCTGAGTATACGCATCTGTGGTGTCCTCATCATCGCATACAGTGGCCCCCGTGATGGGCTGCGATGAAACCTTAATAAGAAAATTAAAAATTAATTTATGGCAAATCATTAAGGAAAAGAAAACCAATTGAAATTTTACAGTAATACAAATATACCTGTGCCTATGGTAGATCCGCATCAACCGTCGGGGATGAGGCATAACTCAACCTGCGCCCGCTATCCACATCTCGGGTCGGTCGATCCTCAGTTGTGGTCTATGGGCCTGAAAAGAATTGGTCTACATCTCCATCGAATGTACCCGTGATCAATAATGTATCTGACGGGGTGACTTGCGATGCTGGCAGAGACAGCTGAAGACTGTACGACGGCATGCTGCTGAAAGGCTCATCTAGCTGAGGGAAATAACCCGACTGATCATCTCCAAGATCCTCATCATGTGCCTCAACAGGTGGGTCGACAGGTGCCTCAACGCCCCCTTGCTGGACAAAGTAATTATCTATGGGTTCCAGGCTCGATATTTGAGGCCCAGTAGCACCAAGATATCCTTAATTATTATGTGTGTCAATTTCAACATTTTTAGAATTTTGTGTGTTATAATAAATTAAATAATTAATTTTATAATTGGACAGAGTAATTATCTATGGGTTCCAGGCTCGATATTTGAGGCCCAGTAGCACCAAGATATCCTTAATTATTATGTGTGTCAATTTCAATAT